CTGCTGCACGATTTAGGGGAGGAGCTGGGTAAAGGAACACAGGATGTCAGCTGCTTGTCTCCTAACCATCAGCACAGGCTGCTCTGTGAACAAAAAGATAACAGTGGAAGAGGAAAGAAAGAGGACAAAAGAATAGAAGGACAGTTACTTTTGAGAAGAAATAGGGAGAGAAGATGCTTATTCAGGAAGATGGCAGGTAGCATTGGTGTTGCTTTCCTTAAGAACTGAGAGGCATAAAATCCATTTTAACCTGTTTTAACCATTTTAAAACTGTTGAACAGATATTTAAAGGAGGAAATTAAGTAAGCAAAATTTTAGGAGGAAACTTTCACCTCTTGTTTGATCTGTTATTCTGAGTTAAAACTTCCATGCATCCACGCATGCACGTCTTGGGTAGCGTTAGATTCCTAACCTGACTCCTGCAATTAAGGATTTTATCTTCTTTGCTAATTTTTAAAAATAAAACAGTCTTTTCCTACCCCTTATGTATTCATGTGACTTTTGGACTGAGTACTCCAGTGTCTTGGTTTTTTGAAGAAACTTGGTTTCTTGCTAAGTATCTTAGCGAAACTGTTTAACAGCTCTTTCTCAGAGCTTGCATATGTAGACAAGGATAAATGTCTTGAATATCAGCTGATACAGCTAGGAAAAAGTGCACAAACTTTCAGGCACAAAAATCTCCTTTGTAGATAATATGTGCTCAGAAGATACGTCAGTTTAACTTATTATTTCTTAGGTACAAAATGTATTTTCAAAATACAGAAGAAAACTGTTATACCAGGTCACTGTAACTAATATAAGCTATTTAATTTACAATAAATGTAATAAAATATCAAAATGCTTAATCATTTTGCTCCCTTATATCTGTGATTTTAAGGAGTGCTAGTCAAAGTAAGACAATGCTTTTAATTGGGATTTTTGGTCCAAATTCTAGAAAAAATAAGAATTACATAAAAGGCAGACTTACAAACTGTTGCATTACTGGCAGCTCAATCCATAAATAAGTCTATTTTGGAATAAATCCAAAACATGAGTGTGAGGGGAAAGGTATTGTTGGATGGTGTAGTGAAATGGGATGATGTTTTTCACCTTGGGGATTATTTGCTGAAAATAGCGGATGTCCTACGATTAAGCTAAAAAATAACGTGTTTAAACATCCTTCTACCTGCACATGGAAACACCTTATTTCAAGGTCTTGGGTCATTGAAGTGTTATGCTGTACCTACTCTGGAAGAAGGAGTTGAAAAAAATAAGTTAAATATAGATTTTTGTTGTTGTTGCAAAGCAGTTTTAAGCAGGTTTTGTAAGGCTTACTTGTAAGTAGTGGGAGATAGAATCCCAAATTGTGAAAAAGTGACAGTAAATGACACAACATTCACATGGTGGGGTTAAACACAATGAGTGAGGAATGAACATGTCTGGTAGGCTGGGGTGGCAGGAGGAAGCAATGTGTGTGTATAGAAACATATAGGTATGCCTATGCAAAAAAGATACATTAAAATAGGTGAATGGATGAGCCAAACACTTATAATGGAAAAGAACAAAAATGCATATGGAGAAGTAGAAAAGTGGAATGAGCTGAAACTGGAAGTTATGATTGATCAAGGAAACTGACAAAAAGTTTGAGACCTGATTTCTCTGAGAACCCAGTAGAATGCCAAGTTGTTTCTTCATATGTGATAGTCTTCTCCACAGATAGCAGTGAGAGATTCTCACAGATGTCCTATTGAGTGCTGCTGTATCTGGTAGTTTAAAGCTTATCCACAGGAAAAGCCAAGATTTCGTAACGGAGCACTGGCCATGCTATTTCAGAGAGTAAGTCAGGAGACGAATGGGTGATAAAATCTACCTTTGCAACTCCTGCAGTCAATTATCTTAGGAGATCATGAGTAGCTTTTATCTAGAATTCTTCTATTGCCTGTGCCCAGAATGCTTGGCCTGAATTCAGTTGATTAAATTATTGTATTTAATTGGCCTTGCAACTCCCTGTCCATGTTCCTGATTGTGAAGTGCAGTGGCAACTGTGGCTTTGGTTACTGGATTTTTCTTCTGCTTTTCCCACTGCTGCTGTACGGAGGCTTAAAGGGTGTAGGCTGAATTGCCATTCTGAATTGCCTGTGCTGACTTTCCAAATACATATTTTAAAGTAAAAAACACAGGTCACTCATGCTTTTGTGATTGTAATGTAGAAAGCCTCCTACAATTGAATTTTCCCTTGAGATTACCTTTAGTTTTCAGGGGTATTTCCACCCTCAGCTGTTATTCAAATCTATGTTCTCTTCATTTTGATTTAAACTTTTTCTTTGATCCAGATAAAGTCTAAATTTGCTGCTGCTTGTATATCTCCATAGGCTGAGGTCCTGGCCCTGTAGAGGTCTGTTGAGGCTTTAAAGATGTTTCCAATGGAAACAGCATTCTACTTCTGGGTACCTCCACATTTTCTCATGTGACGCATTGGCAAAACTATTGTCTAATCCTTGCCTGCTTGCAGTGTCATACAGCATTGTCACCACTTAGCTTTTCTTGAAGTGAAAGCATCCCCTTAAAATGGCTCAGAGTGGCTCTTCTAGAACCATCTCTGCCATGTTACAGTGTGTCCCTTTAATATCCTCCTCTGATGCCTTCTCTGTTCATAGGTCAGATATACACATGCACTGATTTTGTCTTTAAAACTTTTTTTAGCTTAGTCCTGTCACAGATGTTTGGTCCAGGTTTGTTTCTGCTTATTTTTCCGTCAACAGTGCCAACTTCAGCTTTCTGCTTATGAACTTTCCCACATGCTTTCCCAAAATCTCTTCTTTGCACATAAGGAAAAACTGGCAGAACCTGTGGAATTATTGTCTGAACATTCAGCCTTTTTTTTAGATCTCATCTTTCCTATAAAGCATACAGAAAATCACCATCTGCTAAGTAGGTAATGAGAGGTCACTGTAGCAGGTGGCTGCAGATGGCATACAAATCTGGTACAAGCTACATGTTATCCTATCCCTTTCAGCTTAAAACCATTCACCCTCATCATATCACTACATGCCCTTGTATAAAGTGCCTCCCCAACTTTTCTGGAGGCCTCGTCAGGTACTGGAAGGCTGCTGTAAGGTTACCCTGGAGCCTTGTCTTCTCCACGCTGAAAAACCCCAACTCTCTCAGCCTTTTCTCATAGGAGAGGTATTCCAATCCTCTGGTCTTTTGTGAGCTCCTTCTCTGGACTCACTCCATGTCCTTCCTGTTCTGGGGGCTCCAGAACTGGACATAGTATTCCAGGTGGGGTTTCATGAGAGCCGAGTAGAGGAGGAGAATCACCTCCCTGGACAAGATGGCCACACTTCTTTGGATGCAGCCCAGGATATGGTTGGCTTTCTGGGCTGCAAGTGCACCTTGATGTTCTGGGCTCATGTTAACTTCTCATCCATCAGTATCGCCAAGTCCCTTCTGCAGGGCTGCATCACTTCATCCCCTAGCCTATACTGGGGATTGCCCAACCCATGTGCAGGACCTTGCTGTTGGCCTTATTGAACCTCATGGAGTTCACATGGGCATACTTCTTGAGCTTGCTGAGGTCCCTCTACATAGCACCCTGTCCTTCAGGTGTGTCAGCTGCACCACACAGCTTGGTGTCATAGACAGACTTGCTTAGGGTGCACTTGATCCCACTGTCCATGTCACTGATGAAGGTATATAATAGTACTGGTCCCAGTATGGACCCCTGAGGGATATTATGGGGATCTGTTATTCAGCATGTTTCTGGGAGTAACATGTTGCTTTATACTGATATTGCAGAAGGCCCAGAATTAATAATACAGTTAGAGTAAAAACTTGAAAATGTTTACCTACTGTATTCTTGGTTTGGTTTTCATACTTTAAAAGTCTATTATGTTAGGCTGTAGTTCAGTGTTATTTCTGGATTATCTTAGTTTTCACTTTTTGCTAGTAATCTTCAAATAGTCTCACTTAAAATATTTTTAAAATAAATAAATTGTGAGCATGGATTGTTGCTGGAGAGTTTGAGTTGTTAGCTTAATTCTGTTTTTTCTGCAGGACTTCAAGAATATGTTGAGGCAGTCTCATTTCAGTATTTTATCAAAACACGAACTTTGATTAGTGTTGAAGAGATCAATAAACAACTAATATTTACAGCAGACGATAGAGAAGAAACAACAAGCACGGTAAAAGTTTTTCTTTTCTCATGTGACAAACATCTTTCTGGGATGGAAATTCAATGAGTAGACTTAATAGTTTTTTGGCATCTGGTTAAATAAGGCCAGATAGTGAAATGGTATTAGATATATGTGTGGGCTTTGACTCATTTGTTTAAAACATGCCTTTTACTTTGACAAATAGTAAACTAAATCTGTGGGGTACAAGTTTATAAATGTCACATCCTTCTTATTCAGAGTAAACTGAACTTCTGGTAGGCGGAAAGGTCCAGGATTGTGAGATACTAGCAAACAAATTTAGAGGAGGGATTTTTAATGGCTGAGACTGCCTGTATGGCCTACTGGTGTACAGTGATGTAGTAAAAGTTGGGGAAGGCAAAGGAATCCAAGGCAGGATGAACTTTATGAATGACATGTTACTGCTGGTACTGAACTAGTCACAGGAGGCGCTGTATTCAGCTTCTCTTAAAATGCACTGCGTATGTCTTAGCGTGGTCTTTTGTAACTTTGCTGGAGTTGACCTTGATGCTTCCTCTCAAAGGACGAGCTTGTGTCCCATCGTACCTTACCCCTAATACCGTATCTGCTGTTTCTTGACTTGTCCATGCTCCTGCCTGCCCAAAGTAGAACTTTTTGCACAGGGACAGACTACTGCCACCAACCATGGTAAACCAGTTCAGTCTGACTGTTGACAGGTCAAAAAGCAATTTTGTTGTAATGTACAGAAATATTTGAATTCCTAAGTCTGCTTCTGTTCAAAAGATTCTGCTGTAAAGCATTTCTTATTATTTCTTCATTCTCTTGGTAAGATATTTGCAAAGAAGCCAAGTTTTTAGCTTAAGCTCCTTTGTTCTTACCAGAGTCAAACCCATCGTGGCACATTTGTTTTCTCATGCCCCTGACCAGATTTGTGAATTTGGGTGAAGAGCATCTTCTGGAACCAAGGGAACAGAATGTTTGCATTGTTCCCACATTACCAATATTTTGGCAATAAGAAGTATTGAAAACTTGGATATAGGAGCAAACTTGTAACTTTTTGATAGGTTTTCTTGATGAAATATTTTAATCTATTTTACTGAGTTCAGTTGATATAAAATGGATTGAGAGGACTATACCTATCAGTTTGTTGTAGAAAATATATTTTGAAATTCAAGATACTATTCCAAAATTATGTGATTCATTTAAATAATGCAGACTCTTTTTGATTCTTAATTGCTTTGGTAGCTTTTGACAGACCATTTAGGGAAAATTTAAATCCATTAGGTTGAGATATGTAAGCAAAAAAAAGCAACTGCCAATAAATATTGGTACTAAGATGTGACAATTCCATTTGCAAGTAGAAATGGTAGAAGCAGGGTATGTTTATCATGCGTGTTAGAGTTGAAATCATGTCTCAAATGGAAATGGTGCTTCTGTATGCTGGAAGGAGATAAATATTGCTGAAATCACACTGCGTGGAAGCGCCATTCAATTTAATTTTTCAGGATGTTTTAAATTATTAGTCATGTTAGATGTTAGTGTGTGTTAGAACCATGACAGACTGCTTCTTCATAGTTCTCTCTATTGGACTTTATTCTGTTTTGTCCTCAGACCTCCAATTCCCATGATAAACAAGCACACACTTGGAGCCTGAAGGTAACACCTGTGGATTACCTGCTGGGAGTGGCTGACCTGACCGGAGAGCTGATGCGGCTGTGCATCAGCAGTGTTGGAAATGGTGACATAGACACACCTTTTGAACTGAGCCAGTTCTTACGTCAGATTTATGATGGTTTTACTTTCATTGGCAACACTGGACCTTACGAAGTATCGAAGAAGCTGTACACCTTGAAACAGAGTCTGGCAAAAGTAGAGAATGCCTGCTACACGTTAAAAGTACGGGGATCTGAAATCCCAAAGCACATGCTGGCTGATGTGTTCTCCACCAAATCAGAATTGATTGACCAAGAGGAGGGTCTTTCTTAAAATAAGAAGACTGTTGCAACTCAGAAGGAAAGAGGACTCAGAGGAAGCTTTCTAGTTACGGTTTGTGGGGTTTTGACCTTTCTCAAAGCTTTTTAGGTAGAGACATTTTTAGTTTTGTCTTTGAGAACATTGTTTGCAGTGGTAATTTGTAACCAAAAGTACTTTTTATGATGTGCAAGAGAACAAATGTTTGACTTTGTTCTCTTGGTGTGGAATTTCCTGTATTGCTCCATTGTATGTTCTTTCAGAATGACCAAAATTTCCTCTGCCCTATACAACAGTGACTGTCAGTCACTGTCAGTTGTGTGAGTGACCTCAAACTCTTGTGGTTGCTGTTATCAGTTTTCAGGAAGCACAGCATTGGAAAAAAATATGGTTAGGTACTGTTACTTAGCATTATCTATACATTTCTGCTGACCTGCTTTCTGAGAATTTGGGTTCTATACTCATGTTGCACCTAAAACAGTGCACCTGTGTATGTTTAAGTTCATCCCTTGACTTGAAACTGCAGTGGTCTCAAAGGTGCCATGTGACTTAAGTTTTCTTAGATTAATGCTTTTGAGCATGAAACTGAAGCTAAGTCAACTTTCAACCAATTGATAATGAACCTAATTGTATAAATACTACTGTGCACTCATTATTTTGGGGCTCTGTTTCAATAGAGCTCTGTTCAAGTTAATGCGGGTACTTAACAGTTTTGACATGAGCTAGAAAATCCACAAAAAATAATTGTGGAATAAATGTATTGGTTTACTTTTTTTTTTTTTTTTTTGTAATACAGTTTAATGCAGAATCTGACATCCTTTTGTTTGTAGAAAAAAGCAGAAGACCTACCAATTATATTTAACATCAATCATTTGATGTTAGGACAAGCAGTTTTTGGCCAAAACAAATGTGGTGGGGTGTTGGAAGTCTCTTCTCCATTGTTTATGCTGCCCTGAGGACCTCCAGTGGGGTTGAACTGGTATAAGTGAAAAAGGGCTGGCTAAGCTTTAAATATCTGTTAGCAGGAACTATATCATGTTCCTATGGAAAGGAAATTGCAGACAGAAATAAGGCAGACATTCTGACTTCCAGATTTATCTTTGAGGTGGGTATGTCACCACTGGCAAAAAATCAGGTCTTTCTGCCGGTGTCTGAAGTTACGAAAGTCTGATAATGTACATTATGTTAAAGGAAAACAGATAAAACAACATGATCTTTAGACTCCAGGAAATAGGCCTCCCAACTGCAATTGAAAATACTGCATGTTTTTTATTTCCACTTCCATATGCTGTGATACTGCCAATATTTTCCCATGAGCATGTCCTGAGTAGCTGGGATTATCTGATATACAGATAGGAATGGGTAAATACATTTCTGTCACATTTTCCATTGTTGTTACATAAAGCAATACATGGTGCGTTGAAAAAGGAGTGGCTTTTTTCCTATTGTTTAATACTATTTTTTACAATAAACCCTGAAAAGCAGTCACTGCCTGTAGCTTGGTCCTTTTGCCTTTTGGTCCCAGCTGTAAATAATGGTGCACATTTCCCACTATGCAGGACTTGATTTGGAATTTTCACTCCATTCCTAGATTTGTACTCACTAGTCCTGAATTTGTTTTTCTCCCTAACTTTATTCTCTGAAGTCTGAAAACTAGTGTAGAAACTTCATGTGATCCTCTTGAATAAAAAGAAAAAAAATCAAAGGATTCAGATGACAAAACAAGTTTATCACTGGAATAAATCCATGACAAGTACCCACATTTTTACATCTCTCCTTGTTTTTTCTCTGCTTTTTTTTCTGGTGGGAGGAGGAGAAAAAAGGAGATGGATGCTTACTGATAAGGAATGGTTTTGTTGGGTTTTTTTCCCCCAGAAATGTATGCAACTAGTGATTCAGTTGATGCGGGTGAGAGTATACAGTTTTGTCTTTTTTGGCACAGCTAAATGAACTGCAAGTAATTGCATGTTGAGCGTACGTGTGTGAAGCAAAAGCAGATAGTTACTAGAGGCACTGTGTGATATTAAGCAGAGATCTGTCTCTTGTCTGTCCTAGCAGGACATTCCTATCAGGCAGAATTTAAAATGTTCATAGTGCTGTTTGAAAAAGGATGAGATGTGCTCCAGCACGTGGTAGTGCTTGGCCAAGTAAGGTTCTGCCTCTAGCCATGAAATGAGCACACAGTGGCCACTGCTTTAATCAAACAGCTTCTGCTTTTGTACAGTCATTTATTATTTTTAAATTATAGATGTCTAAGAGGTGTACTTTTTTCTAGCAGCCTTGAGAGATTCTTTTTTATTTTTATTTATTTATATTGGTTCTAAGGATTTAAAGATTGAAATTTCCTGTAAGGCTAGAGAAAACTTTTTCACTACAGACATGATTTCTGAACTTCAGGCTTCTTGCCTGTAGTCACAAGCTGTGAATAACTTCTAATAGGGAGCAAAGTGTATATGTGGTGTAGTAAAACACCAACACAGATGGGAAATATCTGATGGCCCACAAACCTCCTGCTCAAGGAAATATTTCCCTCCAAAAAAACAATTACACTGTAGCTATTTGAAAAGTGACAGACATTTATCAGAAAAACAAGCTGCTAAACAAGCAATGGCAATTTTCCCATTTCTTATCCCATTACTCTGTGGAGCTATTGATATGTTTGGTCTATGGCCAGAGCAGGACTACATCATAGCAGATGTTTCATGAGGGCAGCTCTGCGTTCTAGAAATCATCTGCATTCCTAGAATCTCCTTTCTCAGAAATTATTTTTCTTTATGGGTTCACTTTTGTCCTGACTATTAATTTGCAGTGAGGAAAATAAACCCAACTGCATCCAGCTTTCCAGAACTGCCAGAGAAGTTATGCAAGAGAAACTTCCTGTTGACAGGACACGTATGTCTGTCTACTTAGAGTCCTGCTTACTTGGATTTTCACTAAGTTTATTGAAAATCAAAAGCAAAAAAAACTAAAGAAGGACCTTTCATAATATTTAGCACATTAAGGCCTTATGGAATTCCATGGACTGAATTCTGACACTGCCCTCAAAGAGTCTGCAATTTAAGAGCAGGCAAAAGAGTAGCCAAGACAAACAATAGGAAGATGGTAGAAAGGCGAGGGGGAGATTAAATGACAGGATTTTTACCAGAAGACTGTGCGTGCTAGTAGGTTGGTTTACCACTTCCCATTTCAGAAAAGAAAGTTGTCAAAACTTCAGAAAGTCTGGGGTGTGACAGTAAAGGGTTAGTTGGGAAGGGTGAAGGCAGTGGAGAGGCAAAATGGAAGGAAGTGAGGTAGAGACAAAGAAGGGAAGGGTGGCAAGGAGTGGGACAGCATGGAGGAAGAGCAGGCTGAGCTGCAGGACAGCGGGTGCACATCTAAGTAGGGTGGGACTGGGGAGGACGTGGGACAGGAAGACAGCCCTGCAAGAAGTTGGAAACAACACTTCAAAACTAGGTGACTCAGCTATAAAAGACTCGAAGCTGACCATAATGTAAGAACCAAACTGAAAATGACCGCAAAGTCCCCGAAGAATCTATCTTTGGGTTATAAATAAGGGAAACTTGATTTCCTGAGCAGCTGAGAACCTGCAGGTCCTGGACTGAGCAGGGTTTGCAGGCTTCCAGCCACGCTGTCACAAATTAACAAGCAGTTTTTAGTCTCCATCCCACCCAACTTCCCATGAACATTCCCTTCACTCCCATATTGGTAGCCACAAACCTTGATGTGTGAACTACCACTATTTGCAGCTGTTAAAGACATGATTAGATATAGTTTTAAACATAAAGGAGCGCTTACGGTGACCACTGTTTTCCCTTTGTGTGCTGTTTACATGTCCATTTTGCTGCCATTGTTGCTTCAACTCCCTCTCCATTTCTTCGCTTTCTTTACTTCTCCTTTCTTAGGCCGTACAGTTCTTTTGAGCCATAGCCCATGTCCATCCCATTGTTTGGTCCTTTCCATGTTTAGTTGGAATCCTGGGGTAAAATGTCTCCACGCAGGAAGAGTTGGTTTCTTAGGTAGATTTGTCTACATGCACCTCCAAATGTGGAAGCAGTGCTCTGGCTGTGAGGGGAGAGGTCTCATGCTCCTGCACTTGGATAAGGCCTGTTGCATATGTCCTACAGCAGCCATGGTGCTGTGTGTCAGGATGGATGGGTGGGCAGATCTCATGTTGCTTTTGTAGGTGAGCAAACCTTAGTTATTTTGAGGTTTGCAATCATCATGAGCTCACGTAGATTGCCTACGAACATAAAAGAAGTTCCTTCTCCAGTTCTGAGGAAGGTTGTCTTTGAGGAGTATTATTTCCCATCAACTCTACCTCTTTTTACCTGACCCATTATCTCTTTAAAAGACCTGTTTGCAGAATGTAGCAGAAGAGATTTGGCTATGACTACTTCTGGAGCCTGTCGGTGCCTCCCTGAAAGCTGGCCAGAAGTGATGTGATGGCTCCTTTCTCAGCTCCTCCCACAGGGCAGGCAGGCTGGCTCTGGTGCCCTACAGCTCCCCAGGGGGGGGCTGAACTGTGAGCCTTCACTATTGGGTTCTGCAGACCAGTGACACGAGGGTTCATCCTCTTTTCTTTTTTTCCTTTTTTTTTTTTTTTTTTCTTCCTGTGGTGGTGGTGTCATGTCATGCAGATGTTCATTCTTCTCAAAGAAAGAAGCTGTTGTGTATGCTCTGCTCTTCCACTGCCACAACACATCGCGTGACTTCTTGAGCTCATCATAAACAGTTTCTTGGCTCCTGGTGCAGTGCAGGTTTCATGGGACATGATCTATCTTTGGGCACTTCTCCCACAGCACTGTGCTTTCCTGCAGACTTGCAAGTCCTTTTTAATCCAGCAGGGTGCTACCACTTCCATTCAATTCTTCCTCAAGGTCCTCCCTCTCCTCTGATGGCCCCAGCAAGAAGAGCTGACAGAATGGTCTAAGTGGACCTGGAAATAGCCAGAGTTTTGTTAAAATGAGGTCTTGCATGCTTGGAGACAGGCTCAAATGGGTGAAGGATCCACTCAATAGACAATCCTGGGTGTTTTGATGCCACAGGAACATTGTTAAGCTCTGGCAGTCTCATTTTAGGAGGGAGTGGGGGTTGTTTCTTTCCTTGCAGCAAGGACTGTAGGTAGGTGTGTTTTGATTTGCATACTTCACTCCTCAAGAGAAAGGTGACAAGAGATGCCCGGGCTGTGAGGGAAATGAGTGAGACGAAGCAGTGAGGTCTTGCAGCAAACCCAGCAGCAGCCTGAGTCTGATGAGGCTCTTTTAGAAACGCAAATGCTGAACTTCCACTTGGCCTTCGTAAAATCCTGTTGCTTGTTATTTTCTCAGCAGAACCAGTGTTTCCAATTCTTTCCCGGTTTATGGAGCTGCGGGTACGTTTGCACCACCCTGCGGGGACAGCAGGGCCGGCTCCCTGCTGACACCTCCTGGTGCAGGACGTCTCCTTTGCCTTCTTCACAGACC